TTAGTGTGGGGCCGCAGGCCTGGCATTTGAACAGAAAGTGAGGCCAATCCTAAATGAAATCAAACTGTGAATAAAGGAGGATTAAAATAAAAATTGTCAGCATAGTTCACAGAGCTAATGCGTGGCCCAGCTGCCTGAAAGTTGCTGCCATCATATGCCTTGGACATGAGACATGAAAAATTGCCTAGATAGATATTGGCTGAGGAGGTTGTGAGAAGCGCGTTTGTCTGCACTCTGTCGTGCCTATGACGCTGGGAAGGTAAGAGGGGCTGGTGAGAATGTTGACAGGCTGATAAGTTTCTTTGGAAACAGCCTGTAAAGGTTGCCAGGAATGCAGGAAGCTTAATGTTCCAATCCAAAAACTCTACTCCCATGCTTTATAACCACAGCAATATGAGTTTAAAATAACTATTTCAGAAAGGACATTGGATTAGGAATCTGGAACTCTGAGCTCCAACCCTGCCTCTGCTAATTTGTTGTATGTCCGTGACAAGACTCTTCACTTCTCGAGGGCCATGTATTTAAAAGGGTATTTTCGGCTTGGAGGAGGAAGAACAGGAGGTAGTAGGAAACTGAGGAGGTGGGTGACGGGGAAGAATGAGACTTGATTCCCAGGATCCTGGGCCCGGGCTGGGGAGACCTGGGGCCCAGAGAACAGAGAAATGCAGGGCAGGACTTAGCAATGCTCCAAAGAGGTTTTAGCTTTTCACCCACCATCTCAGCTGAAACATTTCTATTAGCAGTGGGTTGAACAGTGACTTTACAAAAGATACGTCCAAGCCCTAAGCATCAGAACCTGTGAATGTGATCTTATTTGGAAGAAAGATCTTTGCAGATGTAATTAAGTTAAGGATCTCAAGATCAAATTATCTTGAATTTGGAGTGGCCCTAAATCCAATGACAAATATTCTATAAAAAGCAGAGGGAGGTCTGAGAGACTCAGATGCAGAGAGGAAAATGCCACATGAAAATAGAGGCAGAGATTGGATTCTGCAACCCTAAGTCAAAGAATGCCTGGAGCCACAGAAGCCAGAAGAGGTGTGGAGGCTTCATCCCTAGAGAATTCAGAGAAAGTAGGGGCCCTACTAACACCTTGATTTCAGACTTCCGGCCACTAGAACTGACAAAGACTAAGTTCTGTTATTTTACGCCACAAAATTTGGAGTGATTTGCTACAGCAGCCCTAGGATTCTAACATCACAGCCTTATGAACAGAACTGTCTAGCATCTCTTTAAAACAACTTCCTCCTCTTAAACTCATGAAGACGTTCATTTAAACCAGCTTTGAGCCCCAACTTAAACATGTGTTGAGTGTAGGAACGTCTCTCTAACCCTAACCAATGCCATGCTATTCCCAGAAAGAAGAGAACTCGCTGCTTTAGTTTGATGCTGAGATGAACACCACGTGGCAGAGGTACTTGAAGCTTTTTGGAAACAGTGGTAGGAGGAGAAAGTTTTGTTACAGGTACGTCCTGTGAGAACATGAAAGATATGCTGACAGGGCAGGAAAGGCCAGTAAGGAGTTGTTGGCCTTGGGTTAGTTTTGGTGTGAGTGCCTCATTGTTTAAGAGTGTGGTTCTCAGCTCAGGCCCATATACACTCTGTTATGTGATTAAGACTACCACCTTGTGATTAGTTATGAGGATGCTATAGGCCTCCTTATAGACCAGTATTACTACCCATCCTTCCAGAGGGCATGAGATTTATCCCCAAGTCTCACTCACTTTCATTCATTAGTGCAACAAATATTTCCTGAGCCCCAACAGTTGGCCCTGCCTAATTGGTGCTGACCACCCAGACTCTCACCCAATTGCCTTTGTGCCCCATCATGTGATTTACAAAAGCACTTTGCAGGAATGTGGCAGGATATAAGAGAAATGAGTGTGGTCCTAGTATAAGCCAACTGGTTGACCAGTAGCCCAAGAACTGGTCTTTTTGTTTGTTTGTTTGTTTGTTTTTTCTTGTTGGGGGGAGGCTGGGAAAGAGGCTGCAGAATAAAGTTGCAATAAAGATGTTTCGATTTGTCAAGAAAGCTGAGATGATTACTGGTTAGAGAAAAGTTCTTGGGAGAGAATATTGAGAGGTATGAAATGTGCTTTACAATTTAATTGAACTTAAGTGGTTTGAGAAAAAGGAACTACAAAGATACTTTAGGAGGCATTTTCTTTCACCATAGTAACAAGTTACTGCAATCTTAATGGCATATTTTGCAATCTTATTGCATATTTTGGATTGATAAGTTAAATACTTTTCATTTTTAATCGTGGTAAAATACATATACCATAAAATTTATCATCTTAACCATTTCTAAGTGTCCAGTTCAGTAGTGTCAAGTATATCACACTGTCACAAACCAATTTCCAGAACTTCAACTTGCAAAACTGAAACTCCGTACCCATCAAACAACTATCTATTTTCCCCACCCTCCATCCATGAGACCCACCATTCTACTTTCTGTCCCTATGAATATGAATACTCTACATACCTCATATAAGTGGAATCATACAATAATATCTGTCTTCTTATAGCAGGCTTAGCATAATGTCCTTAAGGGAATAATAACTGACAAACTGCTTAATGTCACTTAGCGGAGTCATAGTGTCTTGATGTTTTATCCATGTTGTAGCATGTGTCAGAATTTCCTTGCTTTGTAAGGCTGAATAATATTCCATTGTATGTATATAACATATTTTGTTTATCCATTTATTTATTGATGGATTTTTGGGCTGCTTCCACCTTTGGGTATACGAATGATGAGTTAAACGTTTAATTCTTCTTTTGCAGTAAAATTCTCCTTGTACTTTTTTTTGTATATTTTCATATCTCATAAAGAACTAAAATACACCACGTAATTGTTCATTATGAATGACCCTGAAGAAATTCCTGGAGGTGTAAAACCAGTCCTTCTCAAGGGGTTCCTCTGCCACTCCTTTTCTGCCAGAGCTTTTTCCAAAGGAACCCGCTACAAGTTATTGAAACAATTTCTAGCAATTTTGTTCCTATTTGATCATCAAGAATGCATGTAGTCTATCTTTCTTTGCCCGAGGGCCCTGTTATATACACACCAGAACTGGAATTGACTTCCATCTTCTACTCGCAGACATTTATATCTCCTGCACCAAATACTACAGTATTCTAAAATGTTATTCCCTGGAACTTCCAATCCCTCAGGCCATTCTAATGGATTTGAATAGCATGTCCCTTCTGGTGCATTCTACAAGAGAAGGGCTATATTCCTCATCCTTGAATTCCAAATGAGGTCCTCTACTACCCCAGCCTAGCCTAAAGACAGATTTGGGAGGTCACATTTCCCCCAAACACGTTCTACAGATTTATGAGCACAATAAGCTCGATGTTTACATGTCACGTTGATTTTTAAAGATGGTATTTAATTTCTGATGAAAGGCTAAAGCACATTTTTATGCTATGCAGGTGTTCCCAGGCCAGGTAGCACCCGAGAACAACAACTCAACAGCAGAGACCAGAGAGAACAGAGAGGTCACCATAAAAATATAGGGGTCAATCCCTTCTCTGTCACTACAGCCCATCTTCCTAGATGTCACATTCAAAAAGAGTGAGGGGAATAGTGGAACTATCTAAGATTGATCACTTATCTGTGCCATCGAAGAGGTTCCCACTCCACAAATTACTCAATGCATGACCTTAGGCTCACCATATAATTTCTATGTACCTCAGTTTCTTCATCTGTAATTAGGGGTTAATAGTGTGGCAACTATATAATTGTGTTATGATTATTAAATGAGTTGACATTTGTAAAATGCTTAGAAGAGTATCTTGCACATACTTGACTTTTGATATATGTTAGTTAGCATATCATTATTACTAGATTACTAGTTTGGACTGGATTGGAACCATTTTCCTATCTTTTCTTCTATAACTCTCTCCCCCTCCCCCAATTACCTATTGAGGTGGGAGGCTTTAACGAAAAACAAATAATTTAATAGGAAAGTAAAGAAATTGCATTCCCTCTGCAAGTAAATGTCCAAACCACACCTCCTCAGGTTCAGTTAGGGTGCTATTCACATAGAGGAGAAGTAGGAATGTCTTAGTCCATTCAGGCTGCTAAAACGAAATACCATAGACAGGGTAGCTTATAAAGAACAGAAAATTATTTCTCACAGTTATGGAGGCTAGAAGTTCAAGATCAGGGTCATGTTTTGGTGAATAATCATAGAAACATGACTTGACCAAAGGAACACAGGAAACTTCCAGTAACTGATCCCAAAGAAATAGAGGAACTGTCCAACAAAGTATTCAAGGTCATTGTTCTAAATATGTTCAGAGAGCTACAAAAGAGCACAGATTAAACAATTTAATGAAATTAGGAAAATAATATAAGAACAAAATGAGAAGTTTAACAAAGAGAAAACATTTTTTAAAAAGATAAAAGTTTGGAGCTGAAGTATACAATTACTTCACTGAAGAATTCAATAGAGAACTTTGTCAGTAGACTAAATCATGTGGAAGAAAGAATCAGTGAGCACAAAGATAGAACATTTGAATTATCCAGTTAGAGAAGAACAAATAAAAAAGAATGAAGAATAAAGAAAGCCTATGGAACATGTGGGACACCATTAAGAGAAACAATCTATGTATCACTGGAGTCCCAGCAGAAGAAGAGAGGGAGAAAGAGGTAGAAATCTTATTTAAAGAAATAATGGCTGAGAACTCCAAACCTAGGGAAAGCTTTGGACAGGACATCCAAGTTTTTGAAGCTAATAGGTGACTCCGAAATTTCAATCCAAAATTATCTTTAAAAGATATTATAATAAAACTGTCCAAAGTCAAAGACCAAAAAAAAAAAAAAAAAAATTAAAGGGAGCAAGAGAAAAAATTCTCTCATACACGGGAACCCCATAAGGTTATCAGTGAATTTCTCAGCAGAAAGTTTTGCAGGGCAGGAGAGAGTGGGATGATATATTCAAAGTGTTGAATACAAAACAAAACAAAACAAAACCTCCCAACCAAAAATATTTTACCTTGCAAAGTTGTCTTTCAAAATGAAGATGAGATAAGGACTTTGCTTAACGAACAAAAGCTGAGGGAGTTCATCACCATCAGACCTGAAAAAAATGCTGAAAGGAATCTTCAAGCTGAAACAAAATAGCAGTAACTAGTAACATAAAAACATAAAAATTTACAATTGACTGATAAAGTTAAGTACATAGATTCAGAACACTATAAGACTGTAATATAGAAGTGTGTTAGCCATTTAAATCTAATATAAAAATTAGAAAACAAAAAGTATTAAAAATAGCTATTGCTACAATTTCTTAATGAATATACTATATAAAACAATATAAACTGTGACATCAAAAACATAAATTGTGAGACAAGTAAAAGGATAGAGTTTTGTATGCGAATTCAAGTTATCAGTTTAAAATGGACTGTTGCATCTGTAACATGTTTCAAGCAAGCCACAGCATAAACAGAAAACAAATATCTATAGTAAGTTAAAGACAGAAAATAAAGAGAAGGGAATCAAGGTATACCACGATGGAATATTATCAGTTTACAAAAGAAGACACCAAGAAAGGAAGGAAAGAACAAAAACTATAAAGCATCCACAAGACAATTAACAAGATGGCAATAGTTAAGTCATTGCCTGTCGTAATTACTTTAAATGAAAATGTACTAAATTTTCTAATCAAAAGGCACAGAATGGCTGAACTGATTTTAAATACGTTGCCTATAAGAGAGTCACTTCACCCTCAAGGACACAATTAGGCTAATAGTGAGGGGATGGAAAAAGATACTGTATGCAAATAGAAACCAAAGAGAGCAGAGGTAACTAACTATACTTATATCAGACAAAATAGTCTCTTAGTAAAACTGGCACAAGAGACGAAGAAGGTCATTATATAATAACAAAGTGGTCAATTCATCAAGGCAATACAATTATTGTAAATATATACACATCAAACATCAAAGCAGCTAAATATATTAAGCGAAAACTAACATCTGAAGAGAGTAATGTTTTGCAACAATGCAAAAATAATAGGGAACCTAAATACTTCACTTTTAACAATGATAGTATTGAGAAAGAAAATCTATATGGAAACATTGGATTTGAACTATATTTTACACCAAATGGACCTGACAGACATACATAGAATATTCTGTCCAACAGCAAGCAGAATACAACTCTTTTCAAATGCACACAGAACATTCTCCAGCTTAGATCATATGTTAGGTCACGAAACAAGTCTCAGAATATTTAAAAAGATTGAAATCATACCAAACATCTTTTCCAGCCACAATGGTATGAAACTAGAAATAAACAATAGAAGGAAAACTGGAAATTTTTTTTAAATGTGGATATTAAAGAATGCACGCCTGAACAGCTGCTGGGTCAAAGATGAAATTAAAAGGGAAATTTTAAAAATTTCATGAAACAAACAAAAATGAAAACACAACATCCCAAAACTTATAGGATGCAGCAAAAGCAGGGCTGAGGAAAGTTTATAGTGATAAATGCCTACATTATAAAAAAGGAAGATCTCACATAAACAATCTAACTTTACTCCTCAAATAACTAAAAAAAACAAGAACAAACTAAGTCCAAAGTTAACAGAGAAGGTAGATAACAAAGATCAGAGCAGAAATAAATGAAATAGAGAATACAAAAATAATAGAAATGATAAAAAATTAATATTTTTTTTGAAAAAATAAAATTCATAAAACTTTAGCTATACTTACCAAGAATAAAAGAATGTATTCGAATAAATAAAATTACAACTGATAGCATAGAAATACAAAGGATCATAAAACATTACTATGAACAATTATATGCCAAAACATTGGACAACTTAAAGAAAGGGGATAAATTCCTAGAAACATACAACCTACCAAGTCTGAATCAGAAAGAAAAGAAAATCTGAACAGACTAAGAACAAGTATGGAGATTGAATCTGTAATCAAAAATTACTCCCAAAAGAAAAGCCTGGAACAGATGGCTTCACAAGTAAATTCTACCAAGCATTTAAAAAAGAATTAATACCAATTCTTCTCAAACTCTTCCAAAAAATTGAAAATGAGAAAACACTACCAAACTCATTTTACAAGGCCAGTATTAACTGATACCAAAGCTAAGATTGGGACACTATAAGAAAAGCAAACTAGAGGCAAATATCCCTGATGAATATAGATGCAAAAATTCTCAACATAACACTAGCAAACCAAATTCAACACCACATTAAAAGGAACATATACCGTGATCGAGTAGGATTTATCCCTGGAATGCAAGGATGGTTCAACATGTCAATCAATAAATATGATACAGTATATTAATAGAATAAAAGATAAAAATCATATGATCATCTCAATAGATGAAGAAAAAGCATTTAACAAAATTAAATATCTATTCATAATAAAAACTCTCAACAAATTGGCTACAAAAGGAACATACCTCAACATAATAAAGGATGTATATGACAAACCCACAATTAACATCATTCTCAATGGTGAAAGGTTGAAAGCTTTGCCTCTAATATCAGGAACATGACAAGCTTGCCCACTCTCAACATTCCTATTCAACATAGTACTGGAAGTCGTTCCACAGCAATTAGGTAAAACAAAGTAATAAAAGCCATCCTAATCAGAAAGTAAGAATGGTCTGTTTTCTGATAATATAATCTTGTATATAAAAATCCTAAAGACTCCACAAAAGAAATTTTAGACTTAATAAAGGAATTTCGTAAAGCTGCAAGATACAAAAGCAACATAAAAAAATCATTTGCATTTCTGTATATTTACAATGAACTATCTGAAAAAGAAATTAAGAAAACAATCTCATTTCCAATGGCATCAAAAACAACAAAATGCTTAGCACTAAATTTATCCAAGGAAATAAAAGATCAATATACTGAAAACTATAAGAAATTGATAAAAGAAATTGAAGAAGAGAGACATAAATAAATGAAAAACTATGCCACATTGGTGATTAGAAGAGTTAATACTCTTAAAATGTCCATACTATCCAAAACCATCTACAGATTTAATCAAATCTCTATTAAAATTCCAATGGCATTTTTCATAGAAATAAAAAAAAAAATCCTAAAATCTGTGTGGAATCGCAAAAGACTCCAAATAGCCAAAGCAGTCTTGAGAAAGAACAAAGCTAGAAGCATCACATTTTTTTATTTTAAAGTATACGGCAAAGGTAAAATCATCAAAACAGTATGGTACTAACATAAAAACAGACACACAGACCAATGTAACAAAATGGAGAGCTCATAAATAAACCCATTCTTATATAGTCAACTAATATTAGACTAGGGAGCCAAAATTATATAATGAGCAAAGGACAGTGTCTTCAATAAATGGTGCTGAGAAAACTGGACACCTACATGCAAAAGAATGAAATTAGACCCCTGTATTACACCGCTCACAAAAATTAACTTGAAATGGATATGGACTTGAATGTAAGACTTGAAACCATAATTCTCCTAGAGGAAAACATGTGAAAGAAGCGCCTTCATATTAATCTTGGTAATGAATTTTAGGATACAACACCTAAAGTGATGGCAACAAAAGCAAAAATAAATAAGCGGGATTACATCAAACTAAAAGCTTCTGCATAGCAAAAAAAAAAAACAATCAAAATGGAAAGGCAACCTACAGTCAGACAGAGAAAGATAAATACTGTATGTTCACTCACAAGTGGAATCTAAAAGCATGAAACTCATAGAAACAGATAGTAGAATAGCAGTTGCGCTGAGGTCTAGCTAAGTAAAAGGGGGAGATACTGGCAAAAGGTATAAACTTTCAGTTATAACGAGGATAAGTTCCAGAGATCTAATGTACTGAGCGTGGTACCTATAGTTGACAATACTGAATAGTATGCTTGAAAGTTGCTATTAGAGCTTTAATGTTCTCATCATAAAAACAACAAAATGATATTTATATGACGTGAAAGATGTGTTAACTAACCTCTTTGTCGTAAATATTTTGCAATACATACATGTATTGAATCATCACATTGTACACTTTAAAGTTACACAATGTTATATGTCGATTCTATCTCAATAAAGCTGGAAAAAAAATAGCACTAATCCCATTCTTGAGGGCTCTGCCCAAAAGCTCTACTTCCAAATACCAGCACCTTTGGGGGTTTAGATGCAACACATGAATTGTGGGTCCACATTCAGACTTCAGCAGGGAGCAAGGCTAAAAATGCTGAAGACTTAAAAATAAGACCCTGAAAATATGTATGGCATAGAAACCAGCCCGTTTTCCAATTTTGTCTGGGTGCTGATGGTGCCAATCTGTGGTGTGCCCTCTGTAGAAGGAAAGCTGTTTGTTAAACCACACGGGGCTAAGGAAGAATGAAGCACAGCCACAAAGTCCTTTCCTCACTGTGTCCTCCGTGTTAAGCCTGGCCCCACATTAGCATGACACGTGAGTTCTAAAAAAAATAAACAAAGTGCTAGGTCTCCTGTCTGTAGGCTGCTTTCTCAACAGTCTGGTCACTTATGTTATGATCAGACTTCCTGTTATTCCTTCCTGCTGGACCCTCCCACTAATTCCCTATGAGTATCCTGAGCTGGGCCTTCCCTTATCTTTTACATAAACAGACTTTAAAGGTAATGAAAGAAAGATGTTGACTTTTATGGCTCATAAAGCTGCTTGCAGATAGCCAATTTAGCACAACGTACTTCCATTAACTGTATAGTTTAACACTTCTTTCACACCGCGGTGACCTTAAATTTTCAGTAGCCAATGATGAATCTGAAAGAGGTTATAATGTGAAGAGGCGTGCTCGTAAATCACAGGTTTCTGTCCCACATCCAAAACCCGACGCCATTTGAAAATGACAAGGATAGTCTTTTGAGTGTCACCACAGAACAACTGCAGAGATTTATGATGTTTTCCGAACATGCAATCAAACTGTAAGGCTGACAGAGAATCCCTCTTGGCCTCTGGTTTTTCATTTGTAAAATAAGAGGGTTGGCATAGTTGGCCATCCACTACTTTTCAACTCATATACTATGATTCTGCTAATATTGGAGGTTACAGGGGGTTATCGAATCCTTCATAAATTCAGATAAAGGAGGGGACTTGTCCCAAACACTCCAGGCTACCTTTAGACTTGA